ATGTTCAAAACACAATTTAAAAACCATCAAAAAAAATTTAATCTGGCTTTTACTTTGCAATAATATAACAGTTTTCACTTTTAGTTTGAATAATTGTTTTTTTTCTACTTTATTTTCTCCCTGCTGTGTGTTTTATTTTGTTCTACAGACTATTGTTTACTGTTTTTTTTTTAATTGACACATTTTATTGTTTTATTGTTGTAATTTTCTCATCTTGCAAAACTTTATTTACAGCTGTTCATATTATCCTTTAATTTACTTTCAAAAATACGGAGAGAGCTTGCCATACTAATATCCTAACGCAGTTAGTTTCAGTTTAGAGGCATAAAAACAGAAAGCGCTCTTAGCAGTACATTTATGGGACACTTGAGGAACATTTAAAAGTGAAGCAGTGGAGGACCTCGACGATCCAGCTGGAACATAAAGTAAGAGAAAATCTCTGATGTATGGAGGCGCAAGGTCATTTAAAGTTTTATTAACAAGTGAAACAACTTTAAAACCAGTTATATAGTTCTGAGCCTATCTCAGCTGACACGTAGAGACAGACAACCATTCACATTCACACCTACGGACAATTTAGAGTCAACAATTAACCTGCATGTCTTTGGACTGTGGGAGGAAGCCGGAGTACCTGGAGGAAACCCACAATGACACGGGGAGAACAATGCAAACTAAGCAATTAAGCAAAGGCAGAATGAACAACATTCAAAGTTGGTTGATGCCCAGAAATGTCATGAACACAGCAAAATAATAAAATACAAGCAGAGGGCAGGTTCTCTGCAGATACAGACACTGCAAAACACTTGTAGTGGGTCATAAGTGGCAGTTGAGAGGGATTATTTTTGCACGAGTTTACACTTTTTTTCTACTTATTCCGCCTTTAAGCCTTGAAAGATTATTTAAAGGCAGAAGCTAAAGCTTGTTTGTGCATGTGCACCTCTTTTTGTTGTTGTTTTATGTCTTATTAAGGGCGTAATTTCCTACTTTGGTCCCTCTCACTTTGATAGTTTCAGTTTGATTTGCTCACGAAGAGCTCACTAAACCGTGTCCTCCACCTGTCCAACCGCCAAACTCCAGATGGGAGACGCTCCCATCTGGAATGATCAAAATATTAAAATGCTGATTGCCTTCAGTTACAACAGTGCGCCCACAGCATTTAGGCTTTACAGACAGAAGTGCACTTTTTCTGCTGCTCTGACCACGTACAAGCTGCCCTTCCTTATCGGTAGAGGTTGTTGGGGCTGTATGCAGGTTGTGGGGAAGACTGCAGACACTACTGAGGGGTGATAAAAAGTTCCCCAGCCACTATGCATTTTTATGTGAAAGAAAAATAATCCAAGACGAACTGACCATCAATCGAAAATAATGCAGTACAAAAGAGTGCTCTTTGTAGAAGAAATAAAACATTATTTATTGAGTTTAAAGGTTTGTTTCTGACATTGGAAAAGGTATAATGAATATTTTTGTTTTTTAATAACATAATAATGTTGGGTTAATGCATTGCAATCATGGTCTGTATAAATGAGGAAGAAGTGGATGTAGCCTCCGGCTCTAAAAAGTGAATCAAATGTGGAAGTGCCTGAAACCTGCCTTCTTTCTAATGGCCATTCTAATGGATGTGAAAATGACTCAACCTCTCATTTGATTTATTGCCTTGGTGAACATTTTCTTCCATACAGCATGATGTAATGTTCATTTTGTAAATTATGGCTCAATTTAGAGGAAAATAGACGATGAAGCGGGGTATGCTTTAGGGCGTGGCTACTTTGTGATTTACAAGTCGTCACCGCAGACACTTGTCAGCCAAGACAGAGACGCAGCAATTCATATCCAATGTCTCATCAAAGTCTGGTCACTTCTGGCTCCAAAAATCAAAGATGGTGACAACTAAAATGCCAGACTTGAGGCTTCATGGAGGCTACAGCCACTTCTGGTGGATTGATGGATTGCCTCATCCAGGGTGGGAGAGAGTTACTGCCTCAAGCAAAGGAGGTCAACTACCTCGGGGTCTTGTTCACAAGTGAAGGTAGAATGGAATGTGAGATAGGTCGACGGTTTGGTGCAGCTTCTGCAGTGATGCGGGCGCTGCGCCGGACCGCATGTGAAGAGAAAGCTGAAACGGAAGGTGAAGCTTTCAATATACGGGTCCATCTACGTCACAACCCTCACCTGTGGTCATGAGCTCTGGGTAGTGACCGAAAGAATGAGATTACAGATACAAAAGGCTGAAATGAGTTTCTTCTGTGAGGTGTCTGGGCTCAGCCTTGGAGATAGGGTGAGGAGCTCGGACATCCAGAGGGAACTCGGAGTAGAGCCGCTGCTCCTTTGCGTTTCCTTCAATATAGGGTTCAAATATGTTCTGTGGCTTCAGACAGATCTTTTTGTTATTATTTTTGGTCAAAAATGGCTCTTTTGATAGTAAAGGTGGCTGACCACTGGCATAGACGAATACCACTTCATGTTATATATCTGCATATACATTAGGGCGATTTATTGTTTTCTTCTGGTGGTCCTTGTCCTTGAAAAGATACAGATTCAGCTTGAATTTGAAGGAGTACATTAAAGGAACAAAACATTTATTGGGGACAAGCTTTCTCAAGTTTAGCTGAGACTCGTAGGTACCCACAGAATAATTCAGATATTTTAAGATCAAAGTTCAAGGACTCTTTTTTAAAATGGCCAAGCCAGTTGTTCCTTTGCCAAAATTTAGCCTTAATTTGGAGCGTTATTTAGCCACCTTCCTGACAAGCTATGGCAAAATGGTCGGTACCAATGGATGCCTTAGGTTGTCTAGTTTTACATGTTATCACTACCTACAGTAACATCGGCCTCCAAATATTTTTAACAGGGGGTTCATGGTCCCCCTCGGCCCCCACTTTGGGGCACCACTGTACTTTTGGTGAAGAACCTGTGATTGTATTGAGTCCCCCCCACTTGCATCTGTGCCTTGAGCAGCAGTGCTTTCATGTGCGGCGTATCTCTCACAGTATTTATTTAAGCATGATAATCACAGGGCTGCACACATACGCTTATTCACATCTTAGTGTCTGAAAACAGTGACTCCAGAACACCAGGCAATTATGCCCTTGTCTGTTAATCCTAATGTACTGTTGCACCACACAGTGAAAAACCTCCATTTACGCTGCTTTCCATCTAAAAGTGCTCAGAAAGACGTGGCAAAAATCACTAACCAGAGAACAAAACACAGGAGGGTGAAACGGCACATGATGCTGCTGCTCAGCGAGTGGATTTGGCAGTCCTCAGATCTGGCACTTGCTGCCGTCTTCCAAACCAATATCACTTTTGTTACAGATCACTAAAGATGGTGTAATCCAGCAGTCATTATGTGCTCTGCGAGGATGCGTTTTGGTGCAAGATTATACAAGTTGCATGATCTTTATCTGTGATAGCCGCCACAGAAACTGCAGCTCGTGTGTGACTGCAGGGCAAGTAAATAAGGACGTCTGGACACTGTGATGCAGACATGGAAATATAAAGTGAATATATCTGCAGCATTGGGAGCTGGCTCATATTTGCTCATTCATTAGCACACTGACGCAGCAGATACTGAGGCTGCTGGCTGCTTTTCACTTTTCCCCTCTCTCTTTTTCACTGCTGCTTCAAATCCCCTTCACTTACTTCGGAGATTTCTCTGCTTCTGCATGTGTGTGTGTGTGTGTGTGTGTGTGTGTGTGTGTTTGGAGGCATATCAAAGCCCAAGAGCAGGGGAGGCAGGCACAGAGAGGCAGTGGCGGTTACGCAACGCTGGTTATTTATAAACCTTCCTCCCTCTCTCCTTTTCTCCCCTTCCTTCCTTCCTTTTTCCCAGTTTGCGCCTCCTCCTCACCCCCGTCGTCCTCCCCCTCTCGCTCCCGCTCCTGATAACACACGGAGCCGGCCTGATGTCCAAACATTACCAGTGCCAACCTCTCTGCCCACTGACTATGACAATGCCGCCGTTTTTCTCCTCATTGGGCACCTCGACAACTGTGACAGGTGGTTGTTACTCCAGAGGGGCAACGGCAAACAGTTAACACACAGAGCCACAGCTGCACCGCAAATTGTCTCTCTGTCGCAAATTGTAGCGAGAAATTACACGCTCGCTGGCTATTCAGATGGGGATGCATTGTCAACATTTTATTGTAGCCGAGCAGGAGGAAAAAGGAACGTGTGCGTTTGGTGTCGTGAGGCAGTGTGGCTCGACTGCTGAGATCATACGTGTGTTGTCAAGATTCACGCCTGCTTACTCCTTGGAAATAGCCCATGCGTCCGTGTGTCTCTTTTTGCGTGCAAGGCTGTCAATTTTGTCTGATTAAATCTAGTCATACGTGCTTGTTTTCATGTTCCCTCCTCGTGTATTTGTCCAGTGGAGCTGTACAGCGCTCCTGGAAAAAAAAAATTCCACAGAAGCCTGAGCTCACATCTCACGAATCACAAGTTCACATCTGTACCTCTCAGCACGGCTTCAAAAGTGGATGTGGGCATATTTCGTGATCAAAAACTGCACGACAAGTTTGGCCCAGAGGTAACGCTTGAGTGACAGTATTTCATTTTCGCTTTTTACATCAGCTCAAATATCAACACAGCCAGATTTACATTACAGTAGAAAGTAAATGACACCAGGAGGACAAATGAGGAATATTTTGCATAACCCACGAGCTGATAAATATTCATATCCGACTCCTTTAATGCTGCTATTTTCTCTGCACGATAATGTTTCTGAATATTAATACATGTGTCGCATGTGGTCAAATCTCTGGTTCCTGCATGTCTGACGGACTGTTCCCCTGTCAAACAGGCGTGGCTAGATGGTAACCCTAGATTTGCTACAAGACTGCAGCCAACATCCCATGCATTATGTTCGCATCCATACAAGATGTTGCTGAATGTAGAAGACATGGAATTAAGGAAGCAGCATTGGGTTCTTGTATTGCAGTGTCGAGCTACTGCAGGTAGTCCTAGTATACATGTGCAAGTATGGGTATGCACACTGCTTCAAAGCAAAATCCAAAGCTTGATGGTTCAACAGTGACTGGACAATTGGAAAAAAGGTTTAGGGGACGGTTAGTTGAGTACAAGAAAACCATACCCACATTTTGTTTTTTGGGAATCTATAAAAATGGCAGCTAAATGTGTTCCTCTTATAACACCAGTGAGAATTCTGCAGGATCAAACCAGACTCTCACTGCAGCCACTGCTTTAATAATTACCTGAAGGCCTCGATAAGACGTTCCACCTTCTGGGCTTCTCCCTGGACACGAATGTGGGCCTGAAACTTCCTCAGTGCTTCGTCCAGCTCCATGCCTGAGAAGTCCATCTCATCCACCACGCAACTGTTGAGCACAGAGAGGAAAGGATGAGATATTAAGGCAGGGGCAAGAAAATATATCAGAATTTCTAGCAGTATATTAACATGATGGTGGTGGTTGCTCCCTCACTGGTGGCAGGGGTGGATCTACGGATGTACACTCAAGATAAAAAGTCCACTCGTCCGCCTCCCAGCCACACCATCACTCTGCTTACTGCAGGTATTAGCTACGCACGGACACCGGGGATAAGACTGGGCCCCGGCTATCTCCTCTGTGCCACAGCTGCCAAGACACACACACACATTCCCATGCACACATACACCCATACAATCCCTCAGAGCAGAAAATCCTCCTATTACCTGACAACCCCAGCTTAATGACTTTAATTAAAAAAGCAAAATATCCCGTCCAATGAGTTCAGGGGGATAAATACAACGTGGGCAATTTGGAGGTGAAATGAGGTTTTGAAGTGAAAGGTGACTTTGGAAACGAGTTGGGAGGTTTTAAAGTTTCCCTTGCTTTGATGTGAGGTGTTCTGTCGGGGTACAAAGTGGAATGATAATCGAACTATGAAATTAAAGTCATTTTTTTTCCAACGCTCGCATCGGCTTTCATGTGGTACTCCAAACCTATCCACACTGGTTGGAGATAATCTTTGCCTCCGTTACTATGAGCCCATTGATGGTCATGGACAGCAGGTTCAAAAGAACGATGACGCCGCTGATCTCAGAATCCTTTAAAAAACACAGTATGTAGTGATCCTTAATACGGGATGTAGTGGTGTCAAGACATCGCGTCCTGCTTCTGATCTTTTCTGTTTGTTGTACTACAGGAAACACTGGAGTACATGCATGCACATACACACACACACACACACACACACACACACACACCACATGAAGATGGATTACTGTGAACAAAGCGAGTTAATGAGGTGAGTACTTGACTGTGACACATGCTGCTCCAGCAGAAAAGAGTCAGATAGCTGAGTCTACAGTACTGCCTGACAAACCACATACCACAACATGAGACCACGGCAAAACCCACGCACAATAAAAATACCATGAACTGTAATCTATTTAATATAGTACTATCAAACCTTGTATTACGAGAACTATACCTAGTGGTGCCATTCAAATACAACTACCATAACTACTTCTCATATGTCCATACTACCATCACTACTCCTGCTACTGCTGTGGGTACCACTAGTCCCATGTCTATTACTACTACAGTCACTACTACTGTACCACTACTAATTGTCCTATATCTTTGGCTTTACAAACACTACAGCTACTACTGATTGTACTACTGTTACTACTACTCCAGCCACAATTACAACTAGTGCTATCATTTCTACTTATTCTATGTATATTATTCCAACTACCACTACCTCACCTTAATTACATCTGCTATAGCTTTTACTGCAACATCTGGGCAATGTGTATTACTGTGGTCACCACCTCTACTCCTCCATCACCACTACTAGTATTCTTGCACTTATGTCTACTGCTACTTTTGCTACTGCTACCACAGCTAATATTAGTAATTGTTTGTCATTTATTACTGCTATCACCACTATTGCTCCTCTTCTACTACTACTACCAACACTACTACAACTACTACTACACCTAGTAGCCAAAGTAGAGTCAGTGCCTACAAGGAGAACCTCAGTTTTATTACTGTTAAGTGTAACCCCCAAATTCCACCAGATGCGTGTTGGTTGCGTCTGTGCTCCGGAGCGGCAGCAGAGCCTATACGTTTCAATTCTAGTCAATGTGTGTGCTTCCACCGGCTGCAGCTGTGTTGCATTCGGCTCTGTCATAGCTGCGGCGCTCCGGAGCCCTCCACAACAGATACGCAGGACTTCTATTTTTGCTGGACGCCACAGCACAACGCAGCACTTCAGCATGGAGCAGATCGTGCGGGGTTCACAGCACATCATATTTCCCTGCACTACACCTTGAAAACGTCCTAATGGGCGGAGGCAGGCCTGAAGTCAACAGGTCAGAGGTTTTCAGACGTCATTTCACCCCGTTGACACCATGGACGAGGAGATGTTAATCATGGTGGTGCACCAAGATGTCTTCCGACTCCTCCTCTGGTTTTTTGGTTCTGTTTATAGAAACTACATCTTGTTACATCGCATGATTATGCGTGAATTCACGAGATCTCGAGGGTCCTCATGACTCCCACTGTCCGGCGGAGCTGCACCGCTCTGCACTGCAAACGCAGCCGGTGGGTATTGACGGACGGCGGAGCATGCAGCGGATAACCAGCGCAGCCGTTCCGCAACGGACACGCATCCAGTGGAATTCCCGCGTAAGAAAGTTGTACGAAAATCAACATTTAGTTTCCAGTGGGCCGTCGAAAAGGGAAGTTGGCAGAAGAGTGGAAGTACACGTGGTGGATAAATAGAGCTGCGTGTCCTCCATGTAGCAGTTGAACTGAATGTCTAATTTCGTTAACATATGGAGGTAAATAATAAATAAATAGAAGGGGCCCCAAGACAGAGCCCTGCGGAACACCACTAATAACTGTAAAAGACTTTAATCTGAAATTATAACTACTATTATTCCTGATGAATATACTATTATTATTACTATATGTAGCCTTATAGATACTACTAGTATTTGTCTTATGACTACTATTTTTTGTACTATTTTAGTCACTATTACAACTACTACTTAAGTAGTTTTATAATATCCACTTGTGCTATGTCGACTATTACTGATGCTCCAGTTTCTACTGCTACTAGTGCTATAAACCCTGTAGAAGCAATATAAAAACTATTCAGATTGTCAGTTGTCAGTGGTTGTCAGTGCTACTGCTACCATGAATATCACTACTACTCCATGTTTTACCATTACAGGCAACAGCATCACTATTACTGTCATGACTACAATAAACTGTATGCTGGTACTTTTAACCAAGCAGCAACCTCCAGGCCTGAAAAAATGAGGCCAACACAGCAGTGCCAAAAACTGCAGTTTTTTCTTTTCAGCCTGGTTTGAAAGAGCTTTGGTCTCTATGGCTAATTTTGCTGTTCATGAAAACTGTATGGGGGGTGTTTTGTTTTTATAACTCAACCATTTACATTTTATGAAGGCTTAAAGTTACGCATAATTAACGGCAGGCTGCTTCGAGTGACGTGTCGTCTACTGATAGTGTCCTCGGCTTCTCAGTCAGATCAACCCCTCGCTCCTTCACAGCACCAGTCTCTCACTGACATATGATCACCTCTGGTTCCAAAAATCCAAGATGGCAATGGCCGAAATGTCAAACTCAAGGCTTCAAAACAGGAGTCCACAAACCAATGGGTGATGTCACAGTAGCTACGACCATTATTTTTACAGTCTATGCTTCTGAGGTATTGACTGCTACAACTACAACCACGCTGGAGACAAGCATTCACACTGACTTTAATACCTACACCTGCATGATATTGGTGAGAGGAAACCAGACCAGCCACAGGAAACACATAAGCAGCATACACTCTACACAGAAAGGCCCAAGCAAAGCCCCGCAAAGGTAAAGCTTAAAGTACACAGGGACTTCGACATGATCCTCCTCTTGATCAACTCGCTTGACTGTTGAGCCTCTCTCATCGCCCTCCTCATGACTCACTTCCCTGCTCCACCACCTCTCCCTCTCCCTCCTTCCCCGGCTGTCACTCCTTGTTTATGTAACATCAGACGAGATGCTCTCCGGCCTAACTACATCAGCCCTTCTCCTTCCCATACACACATGCGCGCATGCAGACATGCTGTTATCATTCATAGACTGCGTTGATCTGCATACAGTACCTGGCAGGGTAATAGACACATCTGTCTGCATAGCAAGACTTAAACTGTGTGTTAACAAAGCTGTGATGGCAGGTACACTTACACACACACACACACACACACACACACACACACAATGCAAATATAAAGAAGCAGCAGGCCAGATGGAACCATATATTGAGAAGCCAACGAGTACAACGACACACCGAAAACAGATCTCATTTTTCCCACTAAACAAGTACACTACATTATCAGTAAATGAGTCCTCAGGGTGCCACATTTCTTGAAGCCCAAATCTATAACCACAATTTGGCTTAACTGACTTGAGACGTTTTAACTATTGTTGTTTATGCTTGAAGAAATGTGAAGGGAACGAGGCATCATTAGCTTTAAAAGGAGACGAGGAAGACGACAAAAAACACATATACGCACACAGTCAGAAGTCACATGCTTTTACACACACTCTGTCTCACACACACGTTCAGGCTCCGTAAATCAACCTGAGTGATTTTCACATTAGACTGCAATCCCTCACCCGCTCTCCTGTGACTACACTTTATCGAAAGTGCTCTCACGCACACTTTGCACTCTTCTATCATGTTGCTCTTCAACATCACTTCCACTCAGAGCGTGGCTGTGTGACTGCTCTGCAGGAAAATAAGAAAAACATACATCTATGTATCCCAAATGTCACCTGCGCTGGAGTGTATCTGCGCTGTGAATCGGAGTTTGAAGCTTTAAAAGCATAATCCTGTTAATCCAATGTATTTGGAACCATGATGGTGTCCATTTAAGAAATATGGATATTAGATGAGGGCGGCCTGGGGTGGACAACTTGGGAGAGTGCTGTGTCGTGTCTGTCTGACTTTGCGAAGTCTAAAAGTGTGTTTGATAACTTGGACAAAAGGGAGGACAAAAGAAAAATCTGCGGCACCGCCTCTGGTTGATATGCAAATGTAGAGGTAATTGGTAAATGGGAGAATGTAATAGATTAAAAAAAGACAATTACTAAGATAAAGTAAGGAAGTTGTTGAAAGATGTAAAGAGCAGGAGTGAAAATGACCTCTGCAGCTTCAAGGCAAAGAACCACTTATCAGGTTAATGACCTGGAATGAAACATACAGGGTGAATGAGTCATGTGCATGTGAGTGTGTCACAGTGTCTTCATATGTATTTGATGAGTAATACAATATGGAGGCGTCCCTAAACAAATTAAGTTCATCTGTCTTTCTGTTTTATATTAATTCTGCTGTGGCTGTGGCTCTGGCAGAGCTTTTAGAAGTCTGAGAAAATAAATTTGACGTTTTCATGATTATCTGGGCTTCGACTGGATGGTTTAAGGGTGCTCTCACACCTGCCCTGTTTGGTTCGGTTCAATCAAACCCAAGTTTGTTTGCCCCCTAAGTGCGGTTTGTTTGGGCAGGTGTGAACACAGCAATCACACTCAAGTGTACACCAAAACAACCAGACCGAGACCGTTTTGAAGAGATGGTCTCTGGTTACAACCGAACTCGTCAAAGCGGTGGACGCTCGCATCAGATACCACCGCACAAAGGCACCATCCTCAGCATCATGAAATGCACCAGCTGGCAACTAACGTAGTTTAAAGAGCAAGAAAGTCCCAATACGGGGGTGGGCTGTTGGATGGGTCAAACACACTCCAGACTTTCACCCAGGAGCCCTCTGTTCATTTTCCATGTGACACGAAAGGTCAGTTATTCTAATTAGAAAGTAGTGTAGTAAAATGTGTACCATGCTACAGTAGAGATGTATTCATGTGACATGTTATATGTAGCGTTACATGACGTAAGTGACAACCGTAGTTACATTTTTCTAAACCTAACCATGTGCTTCTGTTGCTGAAACTGTTTGGTTCGGTTCAATTGAACTCAAATTCTTTTGCCCCCTCAGTGCGGTTTGTTTGGGCAGGTGTGAACACAGGTGCGCACCAAAACAACCGGATCGAGACCTTCTTGAAGAGGTGGTCTCAGTCCGGTTACAAATGAACTCTGGTTGGGTTCGTTTGTGGTGAGAACGTGTTCCGACCTGGATCTGAACCAACTGCAGTCACATGACACATTGTTTGGGTTAAACATGAGCATGTTACAGTCCTGGAGGATTATTAATGTGCACCTCCTCCTGTACTGCCTTAATATGCACATTCAGCACATCCAATGCATCAAAACATTGTTTTCTAGTTGGAGCCGCGCCTCGTTTTCAAACTGTATGGTTTGACTAAAATGAACATGAACAAATGTTTACTTCCTGGATTTTTCCCGCAGGGAAATTCTGACCAATCAAGAGCAGCTTTCTCACACAAGGCATTTGGACTTTGTAAATTCTGCCATGAGAACACGAACCAACTCTAAGCAATTATACAACTTTGTAATAAAATTAGTCCCTGATTTGGACCAAAGCAAGACAACTCTAGGTCTGAAAGCACCCTAAGACTCCCAAGTTCATGGAGGTGCAACACAAACTGACAACACAGCCCCTTTTGAAGGCACAAACCTTAAATCAAGTCAACCAAACTGGTTTGAATTCTAAAATACATGAATGCTACATGATTTTTTGTTGAAAAGCTGATCATGTGGAATCAGTTAAGATGGTGTCAACCAATCAAGACTAAGGATTTAAAAGGAACTGTACACCTAGAAGATTGTGTCTTTAAGTGGCTACCCTCATTCATGTTTTGGTATCACCTTCATAAATTCATAAAAACACAACTAAGTAAGTAAAGAAAATGAATGCACAATACCACAAAGGTCACATACAACGTCTCCACATGCTGGTGGTTTAGGCCTTATTTAAAGGTGGCACTGGCCAAAACTATGAGTAAAAATACCAACACCAGGAGCTACACTCCCTCTATTCTGCTGAGGTTGTTTATGAAATCTCCAAAACCATATTTACATTATCAGATGGTGGCTAAATTGTCTTTTGTTTCTCACCTCTTGTCTGATGGAATAATGCCAATACAACAGCAACATTGATTTTAATATCAATGTGATAAAAGAAGCTGAAAACAAAAAAGGGCAGGAGAGGTTTTTATTTTATTTTTGTCTCATCAGCTTGTTATCGTTGCTCTACTTATTCTGTCCTGCAAGTCAGCCTAGATTTAAAATCTGAAGAGTCATGTGAGGGGCTTGTTTTTTGGATCATGACACTTCAATTTCAGCTTGTTTTCATTTGTTTACTATGATGAAATGATAATGAAATGTGAATGTCTGAAAAATAACAGCTTTGACACAAGTGGATACTGAAGTCATGATTGAGGTTTCACATTTAGGTGTCAGGGAATCATCTGACCCAGGGCAGAGTTCCAAATGTAGGAAATCTACTGTAGGCATAGTCACCTCAGGCGTCAACACAACTTGCAACTGCTATATTGTGACTAATAGAGCGAAGCAAATCTCCTTGTGCTAACCTCTGATCTCCAAAACATGAAGGGAATAAGAGAAGCAATTTCAAAAATAGTGTGCGCTACTCACTCTAGGACATCTCTGTTGAAGGGCTTCTTGCTGTTGCCGAGGAACTCTCCTATCATCTGTCGACTCAGGCCCTTCCTCTGCAGCAGGAAGTGGGCAACGCCGATGGGTGTATCTGGGATGAAGCCTCGAGAGATCAAGAACTGAAGGCCCTTGTCAGGATTCCTGTAACAAAGAAAAGGAGAATAAAGGAAGGGACTGAATGAGTGACAGGAATCTTGTGAGTGTGAGTGTTTCACGGCGAGACACCCCAGATAAAAACAGTTTTTTCTTTTGGGCTATTTTGCTTCCATAATATAAGAAAGAAGAAGATATACTTAATTAATCCCCAAGGGGAAATTCAAATTTTTCACTCTGTTGTCACATACACACAAGCCCTAAATACACACATGCACAAACAAGACCTATACATGCATTAAATGGAGAGATGTCTTGCTCAAGGACATTTCGGCAGTGCCCAGGAGGCAAATTGGCACCTCTCTAGCTACCAGTCCATGATCCGTATTTGGTCCGTGCAGGAACTTGAACCGATGACCCTCCAGTTCCCAACTAAAGTCCCTATTGACTAAGCGACTGTCGCCCCAGCGGTAATAATAACATTACAATATAGAAAAGACAAGAAAAGTTCAAAATTCACATTTAAATTCACCTTTTTAATTAGATAATGCCTTATTTGCATATCCAAAGCTACATTTTCAGACAACTTGTTATACTAAATGTCATTGTCTTAATGTAAGTAATCAACTGGGGAGGCTTTGGGTGATATCTATTAGTTAAAAAATTGTACCCCATCAATTTGTAGTGTCTTATTTTTGGTCTAAAAATGTATGGAACCTGACAATACATATCTCGAAAGGCCATTTCTCAAAATAAGTTCTTCTCTTAGCCAAATATCCTAACTTCAGTAGCTCTTACATAGACCAAACATACCGATTTTATTCATATCTTTAGTCTGAAAGTTTTCACTGAGGGGTTTGTTTATCTATCATTCATAGCCTGATTTATGTTACTCCTAAAAACATGGCAAAAATGTATTTTTAATTGCTGCTGACAGAAGTGATTTTCAAAATTTTCTCTGTGATTTAGAGCAAAGAAAACACTTTACACATCTATTAAAAAAGACAGGTGCACTGGAGAGAGACCAAAAAGTTGCAAAAGGACTCCCGCACACTGTCTGTCTTGCAATATATAATTTATTTGCGACATTTCGGTACTAGACCTTCATCAGGCAAACAATCTTTTGGTCATGAGAAGCCATCTTAAATAGGGAGTGGTCGTTTCTCCACAACCGATCCCATTCCCACGTGCAAACACAGAGGAACAAAATCATCATTGGGTCAATTAAACACACAATAAACAGAGACAGCAAAAAACAGAAAGCTTTGCTTTTTTGCTGTTCTGGAGAAACAACCACTCCCTATTCAAGATGACTTCTCATGGCCAAAAAATTGTTTGTCTGATGAAGGTCTAGTACTGAAACGTTAGACAGTGTGCGGGAGTCCTTTTGCAAAATTTTCTCTATAAAAATTTTTGACTCCAGCGTGTCATAAAACAAGAACTTTGTACCTGGCTTTAATGTTCTGATATATCTTCAGGAAATGTATGCAAATCAGTGCATATTTAATTGGATAGTTCCTCATTTGCATACTTAAACATACAATTTTAGAAAACAACAAAAAAATAATTGTTTTAATTTAAGTAATCGACTGGGGAAGTTTCATGGTGATATCTATTAAGATATGTGTGATTTTGGGATGTACCAGATGAAAGATGGCCAAGAGATGTGCAAGGATGTTCAAAGACAGCCTGGGATAAAATTTGGGTTGACCATCTCACAGTGTGACTGCTGTTACTACCTACATCTACTAACCAACCAACAGAAATATGGCATGAAATGATGCACTGGCGCTAAACCCAAACAAACAGACGGACAGCAGCTCGCCATGAGGCAAAACACGCTAAAAGAAACATGTGGGATTCCAGCAAAAAGGAAAACCTGGTCGAGTTGTGGCAGCAGAAGCCTTGCCTGTATGACGTCTCCTCTGTTACCATGATCACATAAAGAGGGACAAAGCATGGATGGAAACAGAGGCGGAGTTGCAGCTGCAAGGTGGGCAACACACAGACACACTGCGGTATATAGTGCCCACAAAACTTCAGGTTATTTAACAATGTGACCCTCTATGTTGTGCTTCACAGTTGGGGAAGCAATGACCCATGCAGTATCCTTGCGCACTCAGTATGGGAAGCTAATGCATCGTATGTCATAGCCTGCGATTCAGTAGGGGGTGTCATCGTACAGTCTGCAAACATCAAATGTGATGTTGTACCCAAGTTTATTAGATCCATGTCACACAGTGTAACTGCACTGAACTTGTAAGATTGCTGAAATCTCACAGTCTGCAGGAAGCTTTAGGTGTCTCCCTTTAAAAGTGCACAGGTGTAGTGTAATGCTCTAAACATAGGTGGTGGTGTGACTGCGACAGATGATTTGCTCTTTAACATACTTAACCACACTTAGCAGCAGTAATCCACACCAACACAAAGAAGAGCTTTATTTTTGATTATTTATTTATTATAATGAGCACTGAGAGAACATTTAGGACATTTCATACTGAAAAAAACAAATGATGCATTGCAGCAGTGAGCTTCCTGCTCTGAAAATCTCTGTGTTGGCCGCTTACTGTGCACACCTGCACGGTGTAGGTGGAGACTGCTAAAAGTGATAAAACACACACGGCAAAAAGTCTCATCTGTATTCATTCCTGCGCTGAATTACAACATTCATTAACAACTACTAAACAGCTCGACACTCTGCTGAATTCCGAGGATACTGCCAGAATCATAATGGCTGATGTGGGACTCAGTTTTAAATCCCTGCTTATATGCACAGAGGCGTTCCCAAGACGACTTAGCTGGAACGAAACAGGTCTAAGATTAGCCCAAGTCAAAGTTTGTGACTTTTTATTCATTTAATGACAACTTCTTCAATGTGGTGGTTTACCAAAGTTGAGTTTCTATTGAGATTGAGATCTATTGGAAGATTTTAAATCAACCTAACAATCATGATATGGAAAATAAGTAAGTTAAAGGTAATGTGGGCAGTTTAAAGTCAAAGTTGTAACATTCTGGATTTTCTCATGGTATTTCCGGTTTTATTTTGAAATACTAACCTGCTGTGTCATTGCAGTTTCCTGTGTTTCCCCACCTTTTATCAACCACACCTGCTGCCCATTACTCACCTACCCCTAATTATGCTCTGAGCCATCCCTGAGTACATAAACCCAGCAGCTCCTCATGTCTCTGCTAGATTGTCCTTGTTCCTTTGTGTTATACCTTCCTAGCAAGCTTTCTCTCTCTAGTTTGGTTAGGTTTTTTATGAGTGCTACATTGTGTATAACCTTTTTGGACTGTAGTAAAGACAGTGTTTTTTTTAAACCCTACTCTTCCTCCTGTGTGTTCTCTGCATTTGAGTTTTTACCAGAGTTACTGCAAAATTAAGACCATGTAACACCTGTAAGAAGAGGAAATGCTGTCTTTTTCTTACAAAGCATTAAAAAATACTGTTGGAGGTGTTAGCTGTTTGCTGATGTAACCAAACTTTAAATAGATATTCTTTGTCTTACTGACACCAATAAGACTAGTGCTACTGTCACACTATATTTTAGCATTCAGAAATTGTCACTTTGCGACCATATTCGCAGCTCTTCAGAGGCAGAGCAGATGGGGGAAACATCTTGGGCTTTAGCCCCAAATGTTTTCCCAACAGCCCAAATCTTTTAACGTTTTTAAAATACCTTCAACTTTGTGCCATTAAGAGAATAATATATGTCTGGGACTGGACCTAGCACATTCAGCACCCTAGACAAGCTTCCCATGCTTTATTTTGGTGCTTATTAAATATAATATGGCACCTTATTTATATTAAAACTACAGTGGCTTGCAAATGTATTCACCCCCTTGGTATTCTTTCTGTTTTGTGCCTTAAAAGCTGGATTTACATTTGATTGTATGCAACAGACCTGCACCTTTTTGGGAATTTTTGGGAAGTTTTAAATAATTCTACAAAATGCAAAACTGAAAAGAGGTGCGTGTATATGTATTCACCCCCTTTGCTATATAGCCCCATCCATTACCTTCAGAAGCCACATAGTTAGTTAAATAAGATACACCTGTGGTCATTTTAAGTGTCACATCTCAGTATGAATACACCTGTTCTGATAGGCCCCAGAGTCAACACCAGTGCAACACCACTAAGCAAGGGCTACCACCAAGCAAGTAACACTGTGATGATCAAGGAGTTCTCCAAACAGGTCAGAGACAAAGTTGTAGAGCAGTTACAGATCAGGGTTGAGTTATAAAAAAAACCTCCCAAACTTTGAACAGAACACATTATTACAAAATGGAAAGATTATGCCACTACAACAAACCTGCCAAGAGAAGGCCGCCCACCAAAACTGACAGACCGGGCAAAGAGGGCATTGATCAGAGGAGCAACCAAGAGGCCAAAGATAACCCTGAAGGAGCTGGGCAGCTCTACTGCAGAGATTGGAGTATCTGTCCATAGGACTACTATAAGCTGTTCACTCCACAGAGCTGAGCTTTATGTAAGAATAGCAAGAAAAAAGCAATTGCTTAAAGAAAAAAAATAAGGTAGACGTTTGGAATTCTCCAAAAGGCATGTTGGAGACTCAAACACATGTATGGAAGAAGGTACTCTGGTCAGATGAGACTAAAATGAACCTTTTAGGCCATCAAGCACAATGCTATGACTGGTGCAAACCCAAAACCTCTCATCACGCTGGGAACACCAGGGACTGGGAAACTGGTTAGAATTGAAGGAAAGATGGATGGCGCTCGGCTAGATACAGAGAAATCCTTGAGGGAAACCTGTTTGAGTCTTCCATAGATTTGACACTGGGACGGAGGTTTACCTTCACAATGACCCTAAACACACTGCTGAAGCAACACTCCAGTGCTTTAAGGAGAAACCGTTAAATGTCCTGGAATGGCCCAGTCAAAGCCCAGGCCTCAATCCAACTGAGAATCTGTGATATGACTTAAAGATTGCTGGTCACAAGGGGAACTTATCCAACTTGAAGGAGCTAGAGCAGTTTATCGAAAAGAATGGACGACAATACATGAAGGTAAATGCATTCATGGGA